TAAATGAAAAAATTGTTCGTTCCGAGAGTAGCTATTACTAAGAGCTAGATGAATACTGACTCACATTTTTGTTTTCCAAAATCCGATGCTTTTCTTTGCTTTTTGGAATCACGGGAACGCCGTGTTCGAGAGACCATCTGAGGCAGATTTGAGCCGGTGTCTTGTTGTATTTCGAGCTAAGCCGGAGCAATACATCCGAATCGAGAAATTTCCCTTTGGCTATCGGACAATAACCCTGAAATCAATTACCTGAAATCAATTATTCATGGGGCGGAAAAAATCCTCTTTTGAATATATATCATTCATTAATACTGAACTGAATTTGTCTCAGGTCTAGAGGACTAGCGAGAAGTGGCGCCGCCGCTTAGTACCCGGCTTGAGAGGAAAGTATTAGATCAACCCTGGTCAAGCCATCTGCCCCACTAGAATCATACAGTTGGCACCAGTCTTGTCTAGGAGGGATAAGGAATGAGGAAAGACCGGTTGTCCCCAGGAAGCCGTTATCTCTGCAGAAGTGGGCGCTGATAACATTAAAGGGGGAAATTTGAAGGAACAATTGTGCAAAAGAGGCTTAGCATCTTACCGATAGAAGTACCTCACTAGAAAAGGGTTCACTTCAGAGTTCCTTTCCCCTTCAGGCTAGGCCAAAGTGCTTGTATCCATTACTATAATTCTAGCCAGGAGTCCATTGAATGTCCACCGAGTTTATCACCGCCACGAAACACATTTAAAACTACATAAAGGTTCTAAATGAAAAGCATGCGTGACGCATCCTCAAGAGGATATCGACCCCGCAGGCTTTACAGCAACCGTTCCATAACATATGAAAAACCCACTGACCGCATATAAAATGTCGTTATCTTCGCAGAAGGTCCGCAGTTCAACGGGATTGTACCATGGATGAAATTCGGACTGGTTCACATGCGGTTTTACGCTACAGTACTCGAACATCTCTGTGAGATCATCCTCAGAATAGTTGCTAACACCGATGGCACGAATTCGTCCTGAAAAAGCGACTGCTTGACATCTTCGAGGAATTGTCTGAGGTCGGGTAGGTTCAGGAGATCCTTATGGTGGCGACACATCGTGAACGCGCGCGGCATTCGCACCAGGATCCGGTTACTCTAACGCGGAAGTGATACAGTGCGCGAAGTCAGCTAACTGAACTGAGGAATCCTCTGCTACTTTTTTGAGGGCGATTACTAAGAATGGATTCCTAAACGATGTCCTCGAAGTCCCGAGTAAAAGCTCCCTTCATCATAGAAGCAGCTCCAGTTGCCGCCACGTCTTCGTGAACTTCAGACGAGATCTCCTAGCCAAATCGCGGAATACAGGAAATGCGTCATAAACAGATCTGAAATTGAATTTTTCACATACAGTAAAGGGCTCATTGTCGGCTCGCATACCTAGGTAATCCGTCTGGAGTTTCTCGCATGACAACTCAAACGCCTCCCTTGTTCCTGAGCCAAAATTGACAGGCCACAACTTTGAGCACAGGAACAAATCCGAGCGGGCACTCCAGATCCTGTGAAAATACTATCTGGTTAGGATTGGTCTTGATATAAGAGCACAATGCAAACTGTAAGTAAGTGAAGTAAGCTTGTGTAGCATTAAGTCGAGGTCCATGGCTGATGATATGGGAGGAATCAGGCCCAGGAAAGAGTTCCCCTGCTCTTAATACCGTAGTGAAGACTGTATCTCCCTTTTTGATGCTAACATGGGGAATGCACGCCCATAAGGAAAGCATAGAAGCGGGCCTGACTCCGCCCACAAGATAAACATGGAGTGCACTTCTAAACAATTCTGAGGGCGGTATACCTTCCATGCGAATCCAAGCTCCCGTTCGACTCCATATCGTCTAGCCGTATCGATCATACGATACCCACAGTTCCGTAGCGCATGTATAACGACATCGTGGTAGTAGCCGCCAGAATGAGTCGTCCCTGGAAAAAGCATCCTCAATCAAGCTCTCACGTGAAGTTTTCATTGCTTTCTCGCGGAACGGGCTAGAATGGGCTTATAATGAACGTCTGATTGACGTGGGTGGAGGATCTCTAAGGTAAGAACAAGAATTCTGTAGGAATAAACTGCCAAAAACTAGAGTAAAATCAGCGTCTGAAGCGCGACCGTACCCCACTCTTCCCCATTATTCAATGAGACAATCTAGGCCGCGCTCATAGCTCTGCCGACTACGAAGAATGGCCAGAAATGCCGAAACTGCAGAAGTGCGGAAAGTGCGGAATCTGCAGAAATGACGAAAAGCAATAGATACGTATCGATTTGAAGAAATGCAGAAATGCCGAAACTGCAGAAGTGGGGAAAGTACAGGAATGACGAAAAGATTACATACGTATCGATCTGAGAAATGCAGAAATGCCGAAAATGAAGAAGTGCGGAATCTACCCGAAATGCCAGTAAAGTGCGAAAAACCGATGCGTATCGGTTGCTTTTCGTCATTTCTGCAGATTCCACACTTCCCCCACTTCTGCATTTTCCGCATTCCTGCATTTCTTCACTTCTGCATTTCTTCAAATCAATTCGTATGTAATGCTTTTCGTCATTTCCACAGATTCCGCATTTCTTCATTTCTTCATTTCTTCATGGTCAGCCTAGTCCGTCTAAAGATGGGGTACACCCTCCTGTCGATACCTGCTGACGTCTTTAGTGTAATACCTTAGTTGGCTAATAACCGTACCGCTTAACGTAATAAAGTACGAGGATTATCCCACTAGGAGGGAGGAGGTGAACGCACTTCAAGTACGTCAGGTAAGCATCGGCGCAAGTCTGGCTCGATGGGGGGCCCCAAACGGTACTCAAGCTGGCTTTTCTCCAGTCCACCTTGTGAAAGGCCTGCCAAAATTTTGTTACTTAAGTGGGCTCGAGCTCATGTACCATGCCATACTCACAGCTTCCCAGACATTACAGCTTCTGACATACTGGTTATATAACTGTCAACGGAATTAGGGAAAGTGCAAATGATCCTCCAAGGCTGCGACGAGTGCCTGAGGCAATTCTATTCTCATGGGATTGCAATCTGCACAAGGATCCTCCGGGGCCAGTTTCGGCGACCGGGGGGGGGGGAGCACTCTCGCATCTTCTATACTAATAATCGATCAAGGAGTTAATATCTAGAGAGCAATCAATAGGGCTACACAAGCGGTTGACATATTCCACCACGGTGGCTAGACGAGCTGTTCCAGATTCACTAGTCTTCACAGGTTTCACCAGAGTGAGACTTGTAAACCGGAGCTAGTAAAGCAGCGAAAGAGGAAATGCCCAACCCTCCCTCGTCGCCAAAGTGCGAGGTGTCCTTAAAAAGTCCGTGCCTTGATTTCCTTCTCCAAAGATTGTGGTAGTTGCCAGATAGCAGTATATTACTACATTTTCTACGCCTGATTCACTCATTGACGAGTTACCATCAGGAAATTTTAGTGAAGGATAAACGACCCCAGTTTGTTTTGGAGGATTTTCTACCTTGTACGCTGCGAACGCTAGAGCGTTTCAGAGGGCAGCGTTTGGTGCAGTGCCAGTCAACTTTCCACCAAGTGCCGAAGAGGGAAAAGCACTCGCTGGAGCCGCACCAGAATCAGCCCCTTGAAGGGCCCCAGCTTCTATAGCATAATAAGAACCTGCTCCTTAGAAACAACCAAGTCACGATGATTAAGAGAGTCCCACGTGACAGGAAATTTTAGTTGTGACATGGCGGCCACCTGATGAGTATTATCATAATAGTGCGGTCGTTCTGATGCTATCTGTGCGCCCGAATTCCATCGCTCGGACCATCTGGGTGTTCGCTCATTCACGTGTCAGCTGACGTCAGCAGATAGGAAATGCAAAGTGATCGAAAGAAGGGGCGCAAAAGACCAAAGGTTCAAAAGTCCAAAAGTGTAACAGGGAGGATTTCATAGCGCCAGACGTGCATTTTTTAATCAGAATCGTAAAATCAGCTTGGACCACGGGAAGAATTCCGTATGAAAAGAAGGAAAAAACGGATAAATGAGAAAAATCTCTTTAATGTGTCCTCTGGTGCACGGTACGAGGTCTTTGGTGACAGTACGGACGAGTTCTCTCTGTTCTCTCGGGTGAACATCGATCACTTTCAGCATTCCATCTGCATTGTCATGACATATTACGGTACTTCCGACAAATACGTACTGATCGCTGACCTTACGGTTATTGCAGTGCTGGGAACACACCCACTATCCGTTCCGAAAATAGCGCATGATGGAAAAAACCTCGCGATAGCGCGGTGCCAACGACAGGGACAAAGAGTGAAGTGTGAAGTACCTGTGTTCAGCATCATCAAAGCGCGTCTTTTCTTAATGTTCCCATTACGAACAGGGTACGTCCTATGTAAGGAACCCAGCGGAGGGATCGCTGGAGGAAGGAGGAAAGGAAGGTCTCCTTCTTGTCCTGGGAAGATTTTTTCTGATTGTTCGCCGATGGATGGATGCTGTGGGGCTAGATTTGGCGCTGCGCCAACCCGTTCTCTGCCAGTTGTTATAGACGACAACGACAGAAGAAAACATGCGCGACTACAAGGTACACAGGCATCGTTGTGTCCAAACCCACTTGATTTCTGGGGAGGGGGGTCGTATTTGTAAGACAAATTTATTTTGATAGTTGATTTTTTCTTGTGGAAAAAGGGGGGGGGTCGTATTAATTTCTCGTACTCACACACATTTCGCACATCCCCATGCCGTACCCTGGACAACGATCAGAAGAAAACATGCCGGCGCGGTGCCAAACCCAGTCTCCTGTCACGCCCCAGCATTTGCAGCGAACAAGACTGTAGGAAGCGGTCCCCATCCTTTTCGCCCAGGTCTGGAAATAGCGCCGCTCCAAGAATAAAACTAGCTCTTTGTCTACAACCGCTTTGCAACTTTCTGAGGGTAAAGAACAAAGGTCCTGATCAAAGTCCTTCCCTGCGCCCAACAGTTTTTTCCATTTGTTATGTACAGCCGACTGGCTTTAGGTTTGTCTACGGGATGACGTTGCTGAATGTTTTCTTCCACAGAATGTACGTTGTCGTCGAAGATAACAGGAATCTAGGAATTTTTTCTGCTTGGTTACATCATTGCATCCCCGTTTCTTAAGACAACTGCACTTGATGTTTGGATTCAAAGAACTTTTCAAGAAATTCGGACGCAATTCGGCTAGGTAGGGCATTTTGCTGGTCCCCACCGACCAACGCTGATGTTAAGGAGGCCTGTAAGGTCCTGTAAAGCTACGCATTAGAGGAGCTTCGTTTACATCTGACAATAATCTCCAAGTCTCACTAAGGTGTGACGTGTAATTCAACAGGGACCAGTAAAAGAAACTAGCGAAAGTGCAGAATGCCCTTCCTAAGCCGAACGGCGCCGAATTTTAGGTTTCTAATTCTGCCGTTTCCTATTTTGTAGCAACCCTGCTCGAGCGGGAACCAATGACTAGACCACCGGTTGGCTCCAGCAAGGCCACTACGCCAAGCATGCTTTCCTCTTACACCAAAAACCCGAATGGAGATTGCACCAGAGCGATAGCCCTCCTGTGAACACTCTAGCTCTACCCGTTTGCAGTGACAAGTTTAAACACCTCGTCTATCTGGAGAGAAACCGGGTCTCTAGAAATCCTATCCATTCTACTTGCCCTCAATATTCCATGGACTTTCAAAGCGCAGCGCCAGTTCCTGAACCCGGCGAAAAGACTAATTCAAGCGTAGGCTGCCTCAACCAGGACACGGTGCCTGCGCTGATGGAATATCGATCCTCCTGCAACTTTTTTTCTCAACAACATTTCTCCCTTTGAGATTCTGCCATCGTTGGGGATTAGTGAAAGTGGAAAAATCAACTACCGAAAAATTCCTTGGCAACACTATCGACCCTCATACCTATTAGAACTGACCCCAGCGCGTGAATTCCGACGGGCGACGTTCCCAACTCTCAACGAATGATATAGAGCGCACGCTTGTG